TTCTCTATAGTGAACTTGATGGCTGGATGATATTCATTGAATGAACGAAGAACACCGTCTAAATCAACACCTTTTTTTATCACAGATAACAAAGGTGTCATTCACATGTCTTCTGTAAACGCTGAATGGATTAATAGGTTACATTCATAGTTGTTATCATAATCACAAATGCCTATAATTATTATTATTATTATTATTATTATTATTATTATTATTATTATCAGCATTTAGTGTTTAGTTTTCCTCACGGGATGTAATTTTTCATGTATGAGATCTACATACACGATTGTACGATTTGAAGATAAATTCGTCATGAAACCGTCTGTTCGCTGTATATCTTGTTCTTTATATTACAATGGGGATTACTAAATTATAGAAAACATGGTGAAAAACTGTGTCAGCTGCAGCTCAGTAAGCACACTCACATAACTGAACATGACCCTGTACACATGAGGTAAATAGAAAATAATCCCCCCCCCAAAAAAAAACACTAATTTTTAGTCAATATCCTTTCATAAAAATTATTTAAACATTGACGGACACCTAGACAACTACATACTCCTTCAATACACTTTCATCTTTGACCTCATGACTGTTTTAACAACGTAATTATCATTTTGTTTTCTTCATACAACAAAAATTGATTTTATTTTCAGCATAAATTCATTTGGATTATGAAGTATGCGTAGGTATGAAACTCTGATAATCTATAAATTCCTAACTAATCTTTTTGACAGTGCAAGTTGTAAGGAACGTTGGGAACGAAACTCCTACCAATCAAAATGTTGTATGACAACTTACTTGAAATAAGTGAGATATATATTGAGGAGAAGTCAAAAAACGATTACCTTTCCCACTTGGAAATAACCTACAAAGTCATTGATGAAACTCCTTCCGAATCTGTGTTGTTAATTGGGATGAATTGGTCGGTTTATATTGGCATATGGGTTTCTGTGCCTCGATATTATTACCAGAATTTTAAAAACTTGGTATTAATGTGTATGTAATTGATACTGAATTGGTTTAGTGGAGGCCCACATAGAAATTGTGACCTACTGAACTAAATTTATCCCAGTGAAAAGATACTTTACTGCAATTGGTGGAACTTTTTGGAGGGTGTCAGCAGAGTCTCCCACCTTCTGTAAACGCTGAATGGACTAATAGTTTACATTCATAACTGATAATTCATTCATAGTTGTTATCATAATCACACATGCCTATTTCATCATCCGTCCTATTATAGAAATTGTAATTACGACATTCAGCTTGAAAGAGCTTCTCTTACGATGTACAATGAATGTACACTTTCTATTCAATAAGGAATTTTATATACAGTCAGACGGTGTCGCTATGGGATCACCACTAGGCCCAATCTTAGCTGACTTCTTCTTAGCAAAATTAGAAAATGGCCCTCTGGAAAGCATCATAAGCGGGTTAGAATTTTATTGCCGTTATGTAGATGATACATTCTTGATTGTGAATAATGAGGACGATGCAAGGATCATACTGGATGAATTCAATGGCGTCCATCCAGCAATAACCTTCACTATTGAAACAGAAAGCGATGACAGCATCACCTTCTTAGATGTCCGATTGACAAGGAAGGTGGATGGAACTATGAAAAGAAGTGTGTATCGGAAACCAACGTCAACAGGTCAATACACTCACTTCTTGAGTTTCGTCCCCTTGCAATATAAACGAAATCTCGTTAAATGTTTGGTCCATCGGGCTAGACTCATCTGTTCAGATGATACTTTCGACGAAGAGCTTCAAATTATCCACGATCTACTCAGTAGTAATGGATATCCAGAAACGTTCCTGGCTAAAAATATGGACACATCCAATATGAAAACCAGAATGCCTACAGTCTCCAAGAAACCATTGTTCCTAAGACTACAATTTCGAGGTGACATCATCAGCGAAATTGTGACACAACGCTTAAGAAATGCCATAAGAAGATCATTTAATGCCGCCAAGTTATGTTGTGTTTTCTACAGCCGGCCGATGATGACCACACGAACTAAAGACAGACTCCCTGACTTCTCCTCTTCTATGTGCATTTACCAGTTCAACTGCTCCTGTGGAGCTAGTTACATTGGACGTACAGTTAGGCAAGTCCGTCGTCGAATCGCCGAGCATCATCCTTCATGGCTAAGTAAGGGGGAAACCAGGTTGACACGAAGCTCAATACTCTCTCATCTGATTGACACCGGCCACCGAGTTAACATTCATAATGCCTTTAAAGTTATTTATCACATTCCTTCTCACCTCACCCATCCTCTACGAGTTCGTCTTTTACATACAGCAGAAGCCATAGGAATCCACCTACACAAGCCAAGTCTGTGTGTTCAGAAGAGATCCGTACAGCCTCTTTCTTTGCCTTGGCCATCTGTATAGCTCATTTATTACAAGAAGACTCTTCATTTCATCCACCACACAACTGATCATAACTAATATTTTAATAGCTCCATTATCATTATTATTATTACAGACTCAACCATCTCTCTCTCCCCCGACTGTCTCCAATTACCCTCAACAATTTACCATTCTACGTAACAGTTCATTTTTCCTCTTCAGTTATCATTATACAAAATAACAATTATGTAAGAACCTGTTCACAAAATCTTTCTACTATAATTAATCTTTGCTTTAGTTAACACTGTCTTAATTACCTGATCAATTATCACCTTCTTGATACTTTGAGATTGATACAACACCTTTCATTGAACAACTCTCACCACTAGATTGGTATGTAATTTCACGTTTGAAAACGCTACATACATTAGTGTAGAGCCACTGATGAGGAACTAATTGAAAAGAAATATTTCTTCACTCACATTGTTTGTTTTACTAAATGTCTAAATGGGAATTTTCGCATTATTATTATTATTATTGTCATCATCATCAGCATTTAGTGTTTAGTTTTCCTCACGGGATGTAATTTTTCATGTATGAGATCTACATGCACGATTGTACAACTTGAAAATAAATTCGTCGTGAAAGAGTCTATTCGCTTGGACTTCGCCTACTTTATAGTCTCGACTTTGATTATTTTCGTTTCCTATCTCTCGTTGATAGTCAGTATGCATTAATACAACTTGGAGTCAATCTTTTTGATAGTTTTCCCCTAGTTGATGACACTCTGGTGGAGTCACTGATTATTCAGTTGATATTCAATAATACCACAGTTTATTCAACCTGCTACGTTTATTCCCTACTCTGGATGCTTACTTTCCACTGAAGAGCATAGAATAGAGAAGCTTTAAGTATGCTTTAGCTCAGTGAAGTATAAGGTATTTATACAAATACTTGGCTTGGCAAACTATATTATATTCTTGCTAAATACGACAGAAGTAAGAAAAAAGGACATTTTTAGTGTATAAACGATAGATCAATAAAGTCCATCCTAGCAGTTTTATGAAAATACATATCACTGGGTACTACAATATACACAGACGCTTACAAGTCATAGATATGAAGTTCCCGAATATCACTTTAATGAAATTGTCTCATATGGATAAGTGGCAATGCAAACAATGGTATGGTTTCAAAGATGATAAACCTATTTAAAATCTAGATATCTTTATTTCTCTGGATAAAACAGATTCCTAAATTATAAACAAAACACCAATTGCCTTAGTAACTACTCTGTCCTTCATGTAGCTGACTCCGATTGGTCAACGCACACTTGAACGTGATTGGCTATCACTGAAGTTTAGTTCTACAAGTTCACAACCAAAGTTAGACGAAACACGATCACAGACAATTACAGCATGACAAAATACTTCATGTACTTAATCAAACTTCTATTCATATACTGAGGAATTCTTCGAAATTAGTCACTTTTACTTTGAAAGTCAGGTGGTCTAAGTCAAACAGAAGGTATCGATCTCATGGTGTGAATGGTTACCGCTATGTCTACATAATTTAAATCTATAAAGTCTGATATTACGCTAAGAGTTGAACTATTTTATGCCACAATTCAACGTTTACTGACTTTGATTTGGTCTAGGATCTGGAGTATGACGTTGTACAACCTCAGTATACCTTTCGTATGAGACTATTGAAATGTACATTCTTCCCTGACCTTTTTTCTTGTTTAATAGACTTGGCATTTTACTTAATTGCTCTGTATCCAGTTCTTATTCATGTTGTTTTCAAACTACGTAGTAGAATCGTAGCTTCGGTAGATTATTCTGTTGAATAATCGTTTATTTGTTCAAATATAACTGATATTAACATTGGCTTTATTATGATTCGGATACTGTTATGGCAGCTAACGATCAACAGACATCATCTGTCAGCCGCCAACGTTCAACAAATTCCTAGATGATTCCCGACTCTTACTAATTACTGAAGAAGATACCATGGACCTGAAGAAGTGTGTATTTGGGTGAAAGACCAAACACAAAGGGAAATATATCTAGTATACATAGATAGTTCGCTGTTTAAAATATATACTGTTGATTGGTTGATCCACCGTTTGTCTGTTTAACTATAGAAGTGATAACAATGCACATTTTGACTGTACTGTCTCCAGACTAGTCTATCCCCATATCACCTCGATCTTTCCCTTGCATCTATCTGACCTTGTTTTCTGAGGGGTCAATAGTCTTATTCATGCCGGTTTTGAAACCATTACTCGTCCCTTTAGTAGTTTGTTCTCTTGAACAATTCTTTATTTCTTCAGATATAACTGATATTAGCACTCGCTTCGTTATGATTCAAAAACTGTCATGCAGATGATAAACCTATTTAAAATTTAGATATCTTTATTTCCCAGCGTAAAACGGATTCATAACTTAGAAATAAAATACCGTTTCCCTTAATTACTAGATCGTCCTTCGGGTAGTTGATTCTGATTGGTCAACCCATACTTGAACGTGATTGGCTGTCATTAAAGTTTTCTTAGGAAATCCTGCACTGAAAAATAATTTTGAAGTTGATTTCTGGATAAATTTATTACATGGAGAAAAAAAGTGTATACATCTTACATATTGTTATTTTTTTTCGTTTTTATTAAATTTTGATGTCAGTTGTTTAATACGTTCATTTAACTGATAGAATGTTTCTTCATCATTGTTGAAATGATTCCCCGATTGATTAAATTGTTCTTTATCAGATGATTTCACTGATACATTTCCTATTTGTAACCATGGTCTACGTTCACGTTCCATTTCAGGATCATTCAATAGATGAAATTTAGAGGGATTACGAATATTTTGTCCAACAGTTGATTGTTGTGATCGTATATTCATCTTGTTAGTGTTTAATTCATTTCTGTTTCTTATTGGTAAATGCTATCCAAATTGAAAGATGAATGAAAGTATGATCACAATATGAGTAAAGAAAATAGAGCCTACTCAAGGTAGTCTACTTGATATCATTTGGAGAACCATTGGGAGCACTGGACAGTCGGTGGTGTATCAGTTATTTGGAGTTAAGTAGTCCCCAGTTTACTAATTCTGACAATTTGAGATATGTTACGACTTGATATGAATTGATCTTCAAAACCTTTATACTAATATGAAATCGTAATAGTATTAGTGTATACTGGCTAGCAGTGAAATCCAAGACTCATATTTCATGTTATTCGCTTGACAATCAAGACAAAACCAGCGTCCTGGACTCCACTTCTGGGTAATATTCATCAATAATAACAAAAATATAAAATGTGACCAGTAACTGGGAATCAAAAAATGAGCCTAAATGTCGGTAATGGCCGGTCAGCTTGGTCTAATCAACACGGATGTGTTATCACCTACAACATTCACAAACTAGTATACAACTCTGTAGTGATGGAGAAAATTTGTACTTCAGGTGGATGGTCTTGGTTGTATTGCGTTCTCTAAGGAGCTGGATTGTTTAATAGTGAAGACGCTTTCATCATCTCGCTTCTACACAGTGACATCATCAACACTAACTTCAGTATGATGTCACCTGTCAATATCTCTTCTCTCTGTCAGTGATTGCTTTGACAATGTGGTCTGTGATTGTTTGTTTCCTTCGATTGTTGTGTCATTGACTGACCACATAGATTCGAATGTTGGCTGTCCCTATGCTTCACCCACGTTCACCTTTCTCATGTCTGTCATTTCTCTTATTGGTTGATACATTCGGTCTATATCTATACATCTGTTGATTGCTGGCTGCCTGCCTGACTCCCTGACTGACTGACTGACTGACTGACTGACTGACTGGCTAATCTGAATGACAAGCTTCTAGCAATTCTCTCATGATATTCTTTGTATTTCCCCTCCCCATCCAACATTTCTACATTGTCCAAATTCAATTCATCTCCATACTTGTTATCCACATGCATTGAAATGAGTGATGAAATGTTGTGTGTGACATTCAATAACCAATCGGTGTTGATGTAAATGACGAAGGTGAAGGTGGGCGACCACTTTCTCCTATGTAGTGTTGACTACAGTTATTCCAGTTGATTTTGTGAATGATATTCTGTTTGTCTTCTTTGGTTGTTGCATCCCTTTTCCTCTGCACAATAGTGTTTGTAGGGAATTTGTTGATCAATGAGTGGTCATATGAATTGAAACAAGTGGACTCAGTAATCTAGTTGTGATTTCTGATACATCTTGTTTATGTATGGTAGGATGATGCGTTTGTAGATTTCTGTCGATGATTTTGTAGATGATGTTGTACGGCATAGGCATGTTGTGATAAAGTTTTGTGTGTAGGAGTTCTTGTTTATTGTGGAGATGAAGTAATTTTGTTGGTTTCTCGGTGAATGTGTTGTACTGCACTGGTGTGTGTTCTCGATCTTCTGAATAGAGTTTGGAAGCAATTAGTTTTGTGGGTGGTTGCTACTGTGTGTTGCTGCTGTAGTTGAGTATTTGATCAGTCAGTGTGTGTTCGCTCCCTGTACACTTGACTTTCCAGCATTTCGGTATTTGTCCTACTGACTGAAACATGCAGGAATGGTAGTTGATGAAACAGTAGTCAAGAACCAACTACAATTCCTGGATGTTTTAGTCACTAGGACGAATGTTGTAAAGCTGGAAAGCCAGGTGCACAGAGAGCGAACACACACTGACTGATCAAGTCCTCAACTAGAATAGCAACAACTCAACAATACTCAGATTCTGTACAGTCTACAAAACCAATGACACAACAATCGAAGGAAACAAAAATCACAAACCACTTCATCAAAGCAACCTACTAAATCAGTCATGGAGAGAATAGGTATTGACAGGTCACATCATACTGAAGTTAGTGTTGATGATTTCAGTGTGTAGAAGCGAGACGAAGAAAGCGTCTTCACGATTAAACAATCCAGCTCCTCAGAGAATAAAATACCACAAACATTGATGATGTGGTCTGTGATTGGTTGTTTCCTTCGATTGTTGTATCATTAACTGTATAGATTTTGTGTGTTGTTGGGTTGTTGCTATTCCAGTTGAGGACTTCATCAGACAGTGTGTGTTCGCTACCTGTACACTTGGCTTTCCAGCTTTACAACATTCGTCCTACTGACTGTGAAACATCAACAAATGTAGTTAGTTGTTTGACTACTGTTTCATCAACTACCATTCCTGCATGTTTCAGTCAATAGGACAAATACCGGCATGCTGGAAAGCCAAGTGTACAGAGAGCGAACACCCACTGACAGATCCAATCATCAACTAAAATAGCAACAACCCAACAACACACAAAATATATACACTTGCATGCACACTCTATTCAGAAGAGCGAGAACACACACCAGTGCAGTACAACTAATTCACCGAGAAACCAACAAAATTACTTCATCTCCACAATAAACAAGAACCCCTACACACAAAACTTTATCACAACATGCCCATCATCTACATCATCAACTACAAAGTCATCAACACAAATCAACAAACGCATCATCCTACCATACATAAACAAGATGTATCAGAAATCACAACTAGATTACTGAGACCACTTGTTTCAATTCATATGACCACTCATTGATCAACAAATTCCCTTCAAACACTATTGTGCAGAGCAAAGGATGCAACAACCAAAGAAGACAAACAGAATATCATTCACAAAATCAACTGGAATAACTGTAGTCAACACTACATAGGAGAAAGTGGTCGCCCACCTTCACCTTCGTCATTTACATCAACACCGATTGGTTATTGAATGTCACACACAACATTTCATCACTCATTTCAATGCATGTGGATAACAAGTATGGAGATGAATTGAATTTGGACAATGTAGAAATGTTGGATGGGGAGGGGAAATACAAAGAATATCATGAGAGAATTGCTAGAAGCTTGTCATTCAGATTAGCCAGTCAGTCAGTCAATCAACCAGTTAGTCAGTCAGGGAGTCAGGCAGGCAGCCAGCAATCAACAGATGTATAGATATAGACCGAATGTATCAACCAATAAGAGATAGGCATCAGATAGACAGACAGACAGCCATGAGAAAGGTGAACATGGTGGAGCATAGGGACAGCCAATATTCGAATCTATGCAGTCAGTCAATGACACAACAATCATAGGAGATAACCAATCACAGACCACATCGTCAATGCAAGCTACTAAATCAGTCATGGAGAGAAGAGATATTGACAGGTGACATCATACTGAAGTTAGTGTTGATGATGTCACTGTGTAGAAGCGAGATGATGAAAGCGTCTTCACTATTAAACAATCCAGCTCCTCAGAGAATCAAATACCACTAACATACAATTCTATAAGTATGAAACGCAACGCTGCATCCACTATCGTGTTGTAAGTTTCGTTGACGGTGACCTTATTCTATCCACCTGGTCTTCAAAACAGCCGTAAATGCGAACAACTTGATATCAGGAAGCACAAACTTCAGTTCTACAATCTTGCAGTTATATTTTCAATAGCTTATTGGTAATGGTTTAAATGTGTCAGATTTATAGATGTTTATTTTACTTATATATGGAAGACATGGAAAGAGATCTAAATATATGACTGATGATTATCTGAAGCCGTACAGTGAAAAATACAGCGAACCACAATATGGATTCACTTATCTTAGTCAATACACTGTAATTATGATCACTTTTATCCAAACTGGTTAACATGAATGAATCTAAGTTGAAATTGTTATCGCCGGCAGACCGACCTAACAGCCTGAGAGCAATCTGAGCCTATCAGACTACGAGTGATACGAAATTAATGCACAAACGAATCAACTTTAACGCAAATCAGAAAGTCAACCACCATAACAACAATACTATCAACGCGTTATAACAAGAAGAGAAGACAGACTACTCATAGAGAATCGGTCGGAGTGGTAATCCATTCTTATGCACCTTTGGTAAACCATACAATCTCGGTGTTACTGTGCCAGTAGGTCTGAGTGTTTCACATTCATTTTGTGAAATGAAGCCTTGCTGTTTCAGCTTTTTTAAGGATTCGGATAATTGCCTCTCTGTTTTCTCTGTCATGTCAGTATTGGGTGGTAGTTTCTGAAATTTACTGTCATCACTGAGAAGTCTGTTCATTTTATCTAGGTATTCGGCTCTGTTCATATTAACCACCCCTGAGCCTTTATCCGGCCTGGTGATCAGCAGATCCTCATTCATTCCGAGTTTACGTAAGGCTTCTCTATGTTTTCTAGTCAAGATGCTTCTAGCATTCTGCTTACTATTCATAAATTTGTAGCAACAGTCAACCAGAGTAGACTTGAATCTTTCTACCTCCTCACTTGAAGAAGGTGATAAACCTTCTGTCTGTGAGTATAAGTCTTCAAACTGGACTTGAGTATTTATTCTGTTAGGTGTAATATGACTGTCACAAAACTTAGGATCCAGAGATTATGCTTGTAGTGTTACCATGTCAAGATCAACATTGGAAAAATTATGAACATACCGACCAGGATTTGGAGGGAATCTCACTTCCGGAGTCCGGTTCTCCAAGCTTTGAATAAGGTGAATTTTTTTCTACACCCTTCCTTTTGCTGACAATTTGATTCACATATTCCAAGAATGGCTGTTTCAGGTGGTGTGGGAGACCTTCAACAGCATGGAATCTTTCTACAACGTTTTTCATCAATTCAGTTACGCATGATTTCAGAGAATCAATCTGGTTAAGAGCATGTCGTTTAAGTGTTCTTCCGTTTGGTCGAACTCTGCTACGACGTAGAGATTTCCAGTAGGTTTCAGGATAGCGGTTGGTCTGAATACACTCATAGATAGAGTCCATCGAAGTCTTCGCTTCACCGAGCCTTGCGCTGTACTACAGATACTCATTGAGGATCTTTAACGCAATCCGTTGCTCAGAAGATTTCAGTAATGCAGAAATTCCCATTTAGACATTTAGTAAAACAAATAATGTGAGCGAAGAAATATTTCTTTTCAATTGAAATATTTCTTCGCTCACATTATTTGTTTTACTAAATGTCTAAATGGGAATTTTTGCATTACTCACAGAGAGCCTTTTACTGTCTCAACAATAGTCAATACAGTTGACAGTGATGTTGAATATATACATTTCTAAGTGACCTTGACACCACTAAATTCACATTTCGGTTCAAATAGTTAACAGCCAATGAGAGTTCGACCTTGACAGTCGAGGGGAAAAAACTAGTAAATGTGTGAAAACAATAGGATGGGTAGGATAAAACCACTGTATTTGAGAGGGGGATTGATTACTGAATCTTTGTTCATTGAATCAACACCCACCCAACACATGTAGTAGAAATCAGTAATTTATACTGGACACATGATCATCAAGTAAATAATACTGTATAACTGTCTGCTGACTAAACAAATCTATTATAGAGAAAGTACCTTATCAACTGGTACAAATCACAACATGCACTATACAATATGTAAATAATCCGCGGAATGATCATATGTTTTATGGTGAGCTGATATATTCAATCAACATTAACTTGATGTGAACAGTTTGCCTATGAGAGTTGAACTCATCTAGGCACCCTTACTGATAAGTACTACTTCTAGACCAGTGACTGCAATCTGACTGGTGAAATTTGTCCACTTAAATTAGCCGTATGTTTACCTGTTATGGAGGAAACAGCAGGACAGACACGGAACGATTGTCCACCAACAACAGTTGAGACGGTGGTCATTACATACGGTACACCTTGCACTAAAATCGTCATTTGCAAAATGTGCTTCGTTTCCTCTTCTCCTTCTATCTTGATTTCCCCTTCATACATTCTTATCAGTAACATCTACAGTAATACGACTACGTTATCCCTTATATTGCTCTTGGTAGAATCCTTACCCATTGCCGGTAATTCCCTATGATTTCTGTCACCCTCTCAATATATATACTACTTATATCTATTTTTATCAGCGACGCCCACTACACTATGACTGGTTCTGCTACAGAAAGCAGCTTGAATCTTTGTGGCAACTAAAAGGATTGGAAAATGATATCTGCAGCAATTAATTATGATAACATCTATGCCAGAGATATGGGAAACTTTACTACCAATGGAAACAAAGAATAAGAGGTGACAGGAGTCTAAAAATCAGATGTAGAAAGTAGCCTGATAACCCATATTGACGTGATGATGAACAATCAGTAATTTATACTGGACACATGATCATCAAGTAAATAATACTGTATCACTCTCACTGTCTGTTGGCTATATCAAATATACAAATGTAATATAGAATTATTTCTATGACTTACTTCATATAACGATGTGGAATACGGGATATTTACAGATTTCGATGCAGTATCCATTCGACTTGAATAACTTTTCCCCATATTCAAATTATTATCTTCTGATGTGATCTTGGATAATGAATATACAGAAGTTGATGAACTAAGCTTATTTTTACTAGATCGACTTCTTGATCGATTGTGTATTAGTCTTGGATGTGAAAGATTATTTGAAATTAGATTCATCATTGTGTTATGATCATCTTGACTTGTATGTTTATTGTTATCAAAAGGTCGACATTGTTTATCATCGTTTCTTGGACCTAAAAGACAAGATATCGGTCAAATTTTCATATAATTCGTAATGATGCCTAACCAGAGTAATATAGCTAGAATAAACACTTGGCTAGTTCATTTGTTGTGCGTACTTTATGAGACGTAGCGACAAGAAGGCAGCCAATAGGGGAGTTGTTTTCAACTCATGATCAGATCATGTTCACGTCATGATTTATACTTGCACTGATATGAGAATGTGATTGGAGAAATTCGACCTCATACAAGAAATCTGATTGGTTCATTTATGGCTTCACTTTCTGAGAGTTTTGTAAATAACTATATGTCATGTATTTGCCTAATAAAGTCATCGTTGGCCTTACAGTCACAGGCCGTCTTTGTATTTTGATTTTTGCACAGCTTAGTGAAGCAGAAGGTACTGGGGGAGGTCAGTCGTAAAGGTATTCGGTTGAGGTGTCTATTGAGTCTCAGTATTTATTATACCCGCACACGCAACCCCCACCACGTGGTCACAAAACTAGGGAATTACAAGGTAACTAAAAGGGAGAACAGAAGTGACTTTTCAATAGAAATTATTGTTAAGTCCAGTGGTAACGGTCCTTAAGTATGGTACTAGTTGACGCAGGTTTCAATCTGTGAGTTGATACCAACTCCCTCAAGTGAAGTTACGTCTTACTGATGGGTGCAAACAAGTATGAAACCTATATCGAATAGAGCTTTTGGTGAATTGTCGTCAACTATCTCATATAATTTGGAGTGTACGGTGAACACGAACCTCCCAACTCGTTGATCACACTATAGAATGAACCCAGAAGTCAAGAATACGGGATTAGTTATCTTTCAGTGACCAGTTAATGTCAAATAAGCACTTTATTCTGAACCGGTATTCATTATGGAGTAATATCATCTGAAAATCATTAAAAACCTGAGAATACGCAGCAGTAGTGACACATAACATAGTCAGGGATCGCACTTAAGAACTTCACGCTTCGTGACGAACGCCTCACCTTGAAAACCTGCTTCACACCTTCAAATATGTCAATCCCTCAGTCAAATTCATTTTACAATCACAATCAAACCCATCATTCAATTCTCTTCATGTTCATGTTCAACTCCAATGAAAAGATGATAGATAATTCACTTCATTGATGTATTTACAGAAAGCCTATGTTAGACAAGCAGTTTGTTAATTTCAAAAAGTTTGATCTCTGTAAGTATGAAGAGAAATCTTATCCATTCACCTTCTTCGAGGACCATACAGATATGCACTAAAGATAAGATAAATACTTCAACGACCTCTAATACAAAACGCTTCCCTTCACAGATTCATACACAAGAAACTGAAGCCGAAGAACCCAACTAAATGAATACAATTGGCGCCGAAAACGACTTTTTGGTAAATCTTAAGTTTAAAATTACATTGTTGTAGTAGTGGAGTATATTTGTAGATGAGGTGGATAGTCTTGGTTGCATTGTGTTCTCTGAGGAGCTGGATTGTTGAATCGTGAAGACGCTTTCATCATCTCGCTTCTACACAGTGACATCATCAACACCAACTTCAGTATGATGTGACCTGTCAATTTCTCTTCTCTCCATGACTGATTTAGTAGCTTGCATTGATGATGTGGTCTGTGATTGGTTATCTCCTATGATTGTTGTGTCATTGACTGACTGCATAGATTCGAATATTGGCTGTCCCTATGCTCCACCCATGTTCACCTTTCTCATGGCTGTCTGTCTGTCTATCTGATGCCTATCTCTTATTGGTTGATACATTCGGTCTATATCTATACATCTGTTGATTGCTGGCTGCCTGCCTGACTCCCTGACTGACTAACTGGTTGATTGACTGACTGACTGGCTAATCTGAATGACAAGCTTCTAGCAATTCTCTCATGATATTCTTTGTATTTCCCCTCCCCATCCAACATTTCTACATTGTCCAAATTCAATTCATCTCCATACTTGTTATCCACATACATTGAAATGAGTGATGAAATGTTGTGTGTGACATTCAATAACCAATCGGTGTTGATGTAAATGACGAAGGTGAAGGTGGGTGACCACTTTCTCCTATGTAGTGTTGACTACAGTTATTCCAGTTGATTTTGTGAATGATATTCTGTTTGTCTTCTTTGGTTGTTGCATCCCTTTGCTCTGCACAATAGTGTTTGAAGGGAATTTGTTGATCAATGAGTGGTCATATGAATTGAAACAAGTGGTCTCAGTAATCTAGTTGTGATTTCTGATACATCTTGTTTATGTATGGTAGGATGATGCGTTTGTTGATTTGTGTTGATGACTTTGTAGTTGATGATGTAGATGATGGGCATGTTGTGATAAAGTTTTGTGTGTAGGAGTTCTTGTTTATTGTGGAGATGAAGTAATTTTGTTGGTTTCTCGGTGAATTAGTTGTACTGCACTGGTGTGTGTTCTCGCTCTTCTGAATAGAGTGTGCATGCAAGTGTATATATTTTGTGTGTTGTTGGGTTGTTGCTATTTTAGTTGATGATTGGATCTGTCAGTGTGTGTTCGCTCTCTGTACACTTGGCTTTCCAGCATGCCGGTATTTGTCCTATTGACTGAAACATGCAGGAATGGTAGTTGATGAAACAGTAGTCAAACAACAACTACATTTGGATGTTTCAAGTCAGTAGGACGAATGTTGTAAAGCTGGAAAGCCAAGTGTACAGGTAGCGAACACACACTGTCTGATGAAGTCCTCAACTGGAATAGCAACAACCCAACAACACACAAAATCTATACAGTTAATGATACAACAATCGAAGGAAACAACCAGTCACAGACCACATTGCCACAGCAAGCTACTAAGTCAGTCATGGAGAGAATAGATATTGACAGGTGACATCATACTGAAGTTAGTGTTGATGATGTCACTGTGTCGAAGGAGACGATGAAAGCGTCTTCACGATAAAACAATCCAGCTCCTAATAGAACACTGTACAAGCAATTGCATTGTTGTGGATATCTTCGAAAAAGGACTATGAAGATCTTTAATTAGAATATACTCGATCGCGAACCTTGGAATCCCTTTTACTGTGTGAAAGACAATCCTACGTATTAGGCCATATCAATGTGTGTATAGCATTTCACTTGTTCATATAGAGCTGAGTACATTGGCCACACCACACGTTTGTTTATGAAATGTGGTCGTGAACACTAGCCAACCCGTGTAATAAACTGGAAATGGAACAGAAGATGTTGTGAATTCAGGTTACTCAACTGCTTTTGAGAACTGATTCATATACCTCTATTTAGTTGAATCAAACCACTCCAGGGGAATAAGATCAAGATATTTGTCTATAGGTGAATCACTAGCCATTCGTAAGTTCAAACTATCGTTATGCAACCAAAAGCGGTACCTTCAACCTTTTATCCCTATCATGTGCATCATAAAGCCCTGACTGAATTAGATTCATCCTGTATTACGTAACTATACATATATTTCCTTAATCCTTTGTTTATTTTCCTACTGTCACAGATTCAACCTGCCTTACATAGTCACAATTTGATCTTCCTACTCTGTCATATATTCATCGTGTATTGGATTTTATTTGATGATCTCTTGTCTATTTCCTCACTCTAAACCAAAATGTGCATGATTTAACTTCGTTTAGTTATTCAATATATTTTATCCCCTAACTGTAAATATTCTAGAACGTGCTATCCATTGTAAGATACATTCACAAATGTGCAGTCTAGTAAGTAACTTCGTCGAGAAAAAATTTTTTCTTCTCTACAACCACTTCTTGTCTTATTCTATAGATAAGGTTCATATGAATCTCAAAGTAAATTACTGTTTATTGCTTACTATTATTATTATTATTATCATTTATCCCTTGGGTTACTAGTGGAACATAAGGATTCGGTAGCACGTCTCCATTCCACTGTGTTCTCTGCAATCTTTTGAATCTGGCTCCACCAATGCCCACAAGCTGTCATCTCTTCCTCACACCATCTCCTCCATGTCACCCTCACCTCCCACGCCCAACTCGTCGCTTCCGATCTCGGTTCCACTCGAGTGCCTGGCCTGATGCGTGATGCTCCCGAATGGTCTTCTCAGTGCATGCCCAATCCATCTACACTTCCTTCCAGTGCATATTTATTCAGCGATAGGTTCTTGGTTAGTTGGTTCGTCACCAGCCAGCCAGAGTACCTCGTTGCTTATTCTTACTATTCTGACCATCTGATCTTCAGTAACGAGGCAGCGTATGCAATTGTTGATGAATATCTGTAGTTTGTTGGAAATCCCTTTCGTAATGCGCCAAGTCTCTCAACCATCGCATAGAAGCACTGACTTGACTGGCATTAGTGTAGAAAATCCAGATCTTGTTCACGCTTTATGCTGAGTGCAGTGTAGTAGATCTCCACACTGGTTTCAGGCTAATGAACTCCTGTCTTACTGTCTTTCCGATCCTGCTTTTGGTATACTTGTTCTCGTCTGTGCAGCCTGTAGTTGAAACGATGCTGCTTAGGTAAGTGAAAGAGACAACTTCCTTTAGGTTTCTCCCGTTGATGGTGACTGGAGCTTTCTGTTGTTGTTGGTGGTGTTGTTGATTGGGTATCTTCATTACCACTGTCTTCTCTATATTCGATTGAAGTCCCATCTTTTCTGCCCCGCCTCTTCTGACAACTTGTTAATTTTCGCCTGTAGATCTTCAAGTTTGTGTGACATCAGACACAAGTCATCGGCGAAATCCAAATCTTCGAGATTCTTTTCCCCGGTCCAGCGTATGCCCCTCTTCTCGCTGCTCACTGTTTGTTGCATGGTCCAGTCCTGTCAAACACAATCAGGAATATCATGGATGATAGTAGGTGGCAGCCTTGTTTCACTCCTGTCTTCACTTCACTGCAAAGGCATCACTGAGCTTCCCATTGTGAATTACGTGGTATGTGGCATCTCCATATTGTTGTTGAATGAGGCTGATAAAGGTTTATGGTATTCTGAAGTGTTGGAACAGTTGCCAAATTACATCTCGGTCGACACTGTCATAGGCCTTTTCAAAGT